AAAAGTTTCCCGACCTCTGTAAAATTCTAGCTGAGATTTTGACAGAAATTACATTTAATCTGTAAATCAATGTGAGAATGTTACCATATTAACAATCAGATGCATGAACATGAGATCAGTTTCCTTAGACCTTTGATTTTTTTTTCAATAATGTTTTGTAATTTTAATAGATATTTTGCATTTCCTTTGTTTAATTGATTCCTAAGGGTTTTTTCTTCTTTCTGATGTTATTATAAATGGAATTATTTACTTAATTTCTTTTTTAGGTCATTCATGGCCAATTATAGAAATAAAACTGATTTATTTTAGAAATATAATTGATTTTTATTATTGATCTTGCCATCCTGAAATCTTGCTGAATTTGTTTCTTAACCTTGATAGTTTTTTAGGGGATTTGGGGGGAATTTTCTACACAAAAGATCATGTCATGTGCAAATAAAGATAGTTTTACTTCTTTCTTTTCAATATGGATRTTTTTTATTTCTCTTTCTTGCCTGATTGTCCTGGCTAGAACTTCCAGTGCAATGTTGAATATAAGTGGCACAAGCAGACATCCTTGCTTTGGCATAGGGTACTAGGGTTGGCCCCCTGAAGTTCATGTTGATGCTTGATTCCCAAAACTGCTAAGAGATGAGGCCGTTAGGAGGTGATCAGGCCTTGAGGGCTCCTCCCTCATAGATGGGATAAGTGGCTTTTTAAAAGGGCTGGAAGGAACTAAGTAACCCCTTTTTTGCTTTTCTATCCCTTCCACTTCATGAGGAAGTGGCATTTCTCCCCACTGGAGGAGAAAGCAAAAGGTGCCATATTGGAAGCCCTCACCAGTGCCTTGATCTTGGGCTCCGTCAGGAACTGTGAGAAATGAATTTCTATTTGCAAATTACCCAGTCTGTGGTATTTTGTTATAGTAGCATGAACTGACTAAGACATGGGGGCAAGTATTCAGTCTTTCACCTTAAGAATAATATTTGCTATAAGTATTTCATAGATTTCCATGATCTATATTGAGATGTTCTTTCATGAAAGGATGCAGCAATTTGCCAAAGAATTTTTTGAGTTTTAAGATGATCATCTGGTTTTGCCTTTTTCTGTCAGTATGGTGTATTACATTGATTTTCAGATGATATACTTTATTTCTAGGCTAAATCACACTTGATTGTGGTGTATAATCCTTTCAATATGCTCTTAGATTCAGTTTGCTATTATTTCCTTAAGGATTTTTACATCTATATTCATAAGTGATGTGGGTCTATAGCATCTTGTAATGTTTTCTATTCCTGTGATATCTTTGTCCAATTTTAGCATCAGGGTAATAGGGACTTCAAGGAATGAATTGGGATTCTTATCTTCTGTTTTTGGGAACAGTTTTTAAAGGAGTTGCATTTATTTTCTTTAAATGTTTGGTAGAGTTTATTGATTACATCGTCTAGGCCTAAACTTTCATTTGAGGGAAGTTGTAAAATTATTCATTTAATTTTTTCACTTGTTATACATCTATTTCAATTTTGTATACTTTATTAAGTCAGCTTTGGCAATTTGTACCTTTTTAGAAATTTGTCCATATCTAGCACTCCTTGTTTTTTTKKKKGGGSGGGGTGGGAGGGTGTTGAATTATTCTCTGATGTAACTCATTTTCATCCTACAGAATGCCTGTTCGTATTTTTTATATCCAGGTACACTAGCAGTTAATTCTTTCAATTTTGTTGTCTGGGAATATATTCTATCTTCATTTTTGAGAGATAGCTTTTACTGGATATAAAATTCTTGGTTAACACTACCACCTCTGGCCTCTGTTATTGCTGATTAAGAAATCATTAATTCTCCAGAATGTTTTTGGTACATGGTGAGTCATTTCTCTTTTGTTATATTCAATATTTTCTCTCTGTCTTTATCTATATTTGACAATTTTGAATATATSAAATGTCTGAGTGTGGATCTCTTTGTGTTTACCTTACTTGGAGTTCTTTAAATTCTTAGGTGTGTAAGTTAATGTTTTTCATTAAATTTTAGAAGTTTTCACCCATTACTTTTTTGACTACTTCCTGCTCTTGTCCTCTCCATCTGGTACTTCTACTGTGGATATTTCAATGTGCTTACATGTCTCCCATGTTTCCCAAAGATTTTGTTCATTTTTCTTTATACGTTTTCCTTACCTGAAAATTGTATGAATTTCTTTGATCTATAGTCAAGTTCACTGGTTGTGTCTTCTGTTAGCTCAAACCTACCATTGAGCCCTCAAGTGAATTTATAGCTTAAGTTCCTATACTATTCAACTTCAGAATTTAGTTCTTTTGTAATTCTTTCTTTTTAATAATATTCTCTTATTTGGTGAGACACCATCCTCATATCCTCCTCTAGTTCTTTAGATACAGTTTTCTTTTATTCTTTAAATATAATTATAATAGCTGCTTTAAGATCATGTGTGCTAAGTCCAACATCTGGGCTTCCTCAAAGGCAGGTTCTGTCACATCTCCTGTGTAAGGGTCACACTTTCCTTTTTCTTTTCCTATCTCAGAATTTTTGTTGAAAACAGGTCTTTTTAGATAATAATTGAAAAAATTATGGATATTGATGACCCAGTTCTTGTTGCTGTTGTTTGTTTATTTGTTTTACTGACTTGACTGGGCTATTTATTTCCCTTGCAGTGTGCAGCTACTGATAATCACTCCTTGGACGTCACAATCGTGGGCATATGCGTAGTCACTCTAAGCCCCATTCTTCCCCCCACAATGGTATTAGCCAGGCTCTATTTGACTGTCTGTGTCCCTGATCTCTCCATTAAGCTTCTGGTTATTTTGTCTTTATCGATATCACACACAACTATTAACCTTCACCAACTGCTAACTGACTGAGGCACTGTTTTGTTTTTGTTCTGTGATGCTAGGGATTGAACCAGGGGCCCCCAGCATTCTAGACAAGTGCTTTACCACTGTGCTATCTCCTAGCACTTAGTGTGCTGTTTTTGATAATGCCCTGGGATATAACTTGCTCTGCAGTCTGATTCAACAAAATTCTGGACCCTTCACAAGGACAGAGTGACACTAATATTTGGAGACTACTCAGACCTCAGAAGGACCCTTATCTGTCTTTGACTCTGATTCTTTCTGTTAAACTTCTAGTTGGTTTTATCATTTATTTGGCTTATTGCTTCTAGAATCATGGAACTATTGCCCTGCTCTTAAATGCTCAGTCAAGTTCTCTATTATTTTTGACGATACCCTTAGGCATGAAGTTCTTAATGCTTATTTCAGATGAAGTTAGTTCCTGTGGGGAGAGCTACGGAGCTCTCACTTCTACCTCTTCCTCTGGCCAGACCATTGTACCAATGTACCCTAATAGGCGTAGGGACCCTTGGCCTCCTTCTATCAGAGTGACATTCCACACCTAGAAACAGGCCCTAGATGGGAATGGTGCACCCTCGTCTTCTTAGCTTGCCACATTCAGTATGGAATCTCTGCCATATAAACAGGTAGGGAAAGGAGACATTAGATGCAGTATTCTTAGCCTACTGTAACTGGGACAGAACTTCTGCCCAAAGAGTAGGGACTGAATGTGGGAAGAGAGCCCCAGTCATCTTGGCTGCAACACAGAGTTGAGAGGGATGGGAGATGCCAGTGGATTGCCTCTCAGACATAGCCATGGACTGGGGCCGTGGAAACCCCATCTTCTTGATGGGAAAACTTAGGTCACACTGAGGTAGTAAGGAACACAAGAGAGTTGTGGCTCGGATACCAAGTTTTAGTAGACTTTCTTGAATAGATATTTTTCCATTTGTTGTATTGACCTCGGAACAATTTCCAGAGACTTTAAATTGTTTTTGTTTTGTATTTAGTCATTTTCACCAATTAAATGGTTGTTTTACTGGGTGGAGCATTCACCAACTTTCTTACACCTCCTTTCCAGAGGCTTCCATTTGCTTCCTGTGTTGTAAATTAAGTTTCATTGGGACACAGCCATGTTCATTCATCAATATGTTGTCCTCAACTGCTTTCAGGTTCCAATGGCAGAATTTAATAAGTAGCTGCAGGAGAAATCGCATAGCTTGAAAAGTTCAAAATCATCGTTACTATCTGGAACTTTGCAGAAAGTTTGCTGAGGAATGACCACCACATTCTCTATTATCTATACGGAAAACAATATCACAGAATTGTTCATAATGAAGAGAGGTTTGAAGAGTGCACTCGGAATAGCAAGAAAAGTTGTCAGTTTTTAAAAATCATTGTTGTCTGTTTCAGGTTGTTTGTAGTAATTGTGTTTAAAATTTTTTAGATTGTGGGATTCTAAATCAACAATCTACTGTATACCTGATTTAGTATTTACAATTTTACAACCTTCTTAAAGAGGGCTCCCTAAATCGTATAAGCTTTCTCTCCCTTAGAAGACTGAGATCTGGGCTGGGATTGTGGCTCAGTGGTAGAATGCTAGCCTCACTCGTGAGAGACCCTGGGTTCGATCCTCAGCACCCCATAAAAATAAATAAACATTTTTAAAAAGTGAGATATGATAAAAAATACTTAAAAAAAAGAAGACTGAGATCCATTGTGACTTAGATTTAAGTTGTGGGATTGTTTCCTATATGCCAGTGTTATGCTTTGATTTTTTTTCCCCCCTTAAATCTTATTTGTGTCTAGAATCACTGGTTTGATATGCCTGTTGTATGTTCACATAGACACACAGAAGGCATCTATCCTGGGGACATAGCGTGGAGCACAGCGTGGCTAAGAGGAAGAGTGGGCTTGACGTGGCACTGGAGGATGGTGGGAGACCAGGGCAGCAGGCAGGGAGTGCACTGGGGGCACCCAGCACCTCTCTGTGCATCTTATTGCCACCCTTGGAGTGAGGCCTATCTTCTTGGAATGTCAGAAATTTTAGGGTTAGTAGAGTCAGATCCCCTGAGCCTCCAGGGGCAGGCCCTGGGAAGCCRTTATAGAGTGAGGAGAGTGGGGGTATCTGAACTGCTCTGGTGTGAGTTGTGGGCCAAGGGAGCACTTTCTGTCTTTCAGCATTGCTTTAAAGGACATTGCATCTGGCTGACACCTGACATCCTCAAACGGGACGGCAACTGGGGTGCCTGGACTCCATTCGGCTCCTGCTCTCGCACCTGTGGCACCGGTGTGAGGTTCAGGACTCGCCAGTGTGACAACCCACAGTGAGTTGGCCACAACATTCCCCCAGCCTTCCTGAGTGGCAGCTGAGGACTATGAAACCCCTCTATAGCCAGCTCTATTCTACAGGGCTCGGATGGCTGCCATCTGCCAGTTCTGGAGGGAGTGCCAGAGCAAGCTCTCCTGGCCCCTCCTCTGAGCTGAGACTCAGAGGGGGGCTGATTCCCCTTCTCCACCTGGGCCTGAAAACCTGGTTTCCTGACCTGCTGGACTAGGGCCACGCACCTCCTGACCTATAATCCACTCTGAACACAGGCTTCCTCTGTCTTTTGTGATACATGGAGGAGAGAAGATGGGACAGAGATGGGGAGAGATAAAAGGTCTCTACAGAGGGGAGCTCTCTCAGCCCTTCAGAATGCTGCGAATCTGGGCAGGGGCTTCCTTAGCTGAGCAACTATTTGAAATCAGGGGAGAGGCAGGGTCAGGACTTGTCATCCATACCCAGGTACCCGGGGGAAGGACAGCCTTCAGAGGCTGCCTGGTGCAAGCCAGATTCCCCACCATCAACCATGCTCCCCTTCTCCCTTCCTCATCCCCTATGCTGTCCTGGGCCCGCTCATTCCCTCCCACCCCACCCTGCAAATACTTCTCTGATCCACGCTCCGCTCTGGGCTCACAATCACCTTCTATTCAGTTCCTTCCTCCTCTGAATTATTGCTTCCCCTCCTCATCTGAGTTCTTTGCCTGGACTCTCTCAGTGAAGTATCCTYAGGGAGGGAGAGGGAAAGAGAGGGAGGGAGAGGGAGGGAGGGCTGTGGGTGCACAGTCAATAACTGCACCAGGGCCTAGCCTGTAGGGGAGTCTTGCACAAACATTGGCAGTACTCAGATCTTCCACATGACCAGCAAGGGAGCCTTACCCTGCTAGCTGAGTCTGCTTGGACACACAAGGCAGCTTTTGTCTTTCTTCTTTTGATCTGTCCAGTGTTTCAATGATTTTGATTTACCTGAAAATATTGAAAATCTGGAATTTYACGTAAAAACAAACAGTTCTCCAACTTCCGAATTGGGCCAGATACAATCTAGTGATAGGTTTTGGGGCACATCCAGACCATCTGGGCTCTGGCCTCTGCTGAATTTCCCACGTTCTCTGYTACACTGTCTCTGGCCAGCCCCTGAACTAGCCTCCAGGGAACCAGAGGGGGTCAGCACTCAACAGCTGTTGGGTGGAGGATGTGGTCAAGTCTATCAGCCAGGTAGGGGCAGAGGAAGGACCTATGCTCTAGGGTCCAGTAGAGGTACAACCATTATTTTAGAAAGACCTGTGTTTGTCTGTCTCAGCAGTGCATGGAATGCCCCCCTCCTCCCCTTCTGACCACCCTCCTGCCCGAAAGCTCTGAATGGCATCCAGGCTAAGAGCAGAGGCAGGCCCCTCCTTCCATCCCCCTGGGGACTTTCACACTTGCCTCAGAAAGAGATTCAGATTTAAGCTGGGAGTTAGAACCACCAGAGAGACAGTTGGTGGGTTGGTCCTCTTCTTTGTGAAATGAGAAAGTTACAGAAGGGCAGCCCAAATTCCCTAAGGTGGAGAAAAAGCAGCCATGACCAAGTGTCCATCATGTGCCACACATTTGTTAAGAACCTAAGCATGTGGGATTTCTCCTATTTCAGAATTACTCTGGGATTTCCCCACTGCATGTCAGGCACAGCCCTGTGAGCCAAGAGCCCAGCAGTAAAAAAAACAATCAATCAATTCTTGTCATCTCAGGGCCTGTGGTCCGATGGGGAAGGCAAACTCTAAACACTCCATCACAACTCCATGTTCCTTTTCAATCCCAGGCCTCCCCCCCCATACTGCATGGGTGGGGTGGGGGTGGGGCACAAGGAAGTTGCTGTCTTCCCAAGGGAACTCCAGAAGAAGGGATATCACCAGGCTCCTTCTTGATTCTCTGAGGCCTGGTTAGCTGGGAATTGCTGGGTCCTACAGCTTGGACATGGCAGAGCCAGGTCCCTTCACAAAGCAGAGCTGTACCTCTAATACCTGAAGCTCAAGGATCTTCCTACAAATCCCACCCAAGGGCCAGCCTCTTTCTGATGGCACCCAGCAGCTGGACTTATGCTTTCTCCTCCAGCCCAGCCAATGGGGGACGTACCTGCTCTGGCCTAGCCTATGACTTCCAGCTCTGCGGCACCCAAGACTGCCCTGACTCCCTGGCTGACTTCCGGGAGGAGCAGTGCCGGCAGTGGGACCTGTACTTTGAGCACGGAGACGGCCAGCACCACTGGCTGCCCCACGAACACCGGGATGGTGAGCCCTTCACAGGAGGATGGCAGTGAGGGTCAGCACACAGGCCCTAGGGAGGGCAGGCAGGGCCTTGCATTGTCCTGTGCCTCTGATAATGTATGGGGCAAGAGTGTAGTGGTGACACTTAGACTGGCAGCAAAGCCCACCCCTGACTGGCTCTGCTGTCAGGTGCCCCGTCCTGGGGTGGGTCTCAGGCTTCGTGTCTGGACTGCAGTCTCAGAGAAGCCAGAATACTGGGCATGGCCAAGAATGCTAAGGAGAGCCCGAGGACCTGGCACCTCCGAGCAGGCTGGGCTCCTGCAGTTGCCATCTGGTGGATGAGGATGGAGTGGCAGGATTAGAAAGGTTAAGGGATAGGGGTAGGGGGCTGACCTTGCCAAGCAACTGGCCTCTGACCTTCTCTGAGCCCCTGCTATGTGTCCCACCTGTGTCTGAGGGAGGCTGAGGGAGGGCAATGAAGCTAGTGTCCCTCTAGCTAGGAAGGATGCACTCTGGTGACCTAGAGTTTTATTTACCCTGAATAAATGCTGAGCAGAGGAAGGTGCCAGGGATCCCTAGTTGAATCCAAAAGGGGCTGCTCCAGTTTGGGCCCTCAGGGAAGGTTGACTGAAGGAGGCTTTTTAGATGGAAACTCAGTAAGCAGCCTTTTGCGGCTGCACAGTAGGAAGTCTCTGGGTGGGACCTTTGGCGTGTGCCATCTAAGCTATACCAACAGTCCAACTGGCTCCATTTGGGGAAAAAGCTCTTTCTAAGTCCAGTTGAACCAGGGTCAAAGGCTCAGAAGACATAGAGATAGGAARCAAGTTGCCATCACGTGACCCTTTCCCTCTGTGTCCACCTTGGAGACTGTGGAGGGGCAGATGAACCTCCTAAGCACAGCTCCATGGGAGTTTCTTATTGCACTGTCCCTTCTCTTGCACTGACTCCTTGCTGCTTCCCTTCCAGCCAAGGAGAGATGCAACCTCTACTGTGAGTCCAAGGAGACTGGGGAGGTGGTGTCCATGAAACGCATGGTGCACGACGGGACACGCTGCTCCTACAAGGATGCCTTCAGCCTCTGTGTGCGTGGGGACTGCAAGGTGAGTGCCATGAAGCCGGCCAACCTCCTGGGTACCAGCTTCCACTTCTTGAAAAGATTAATAAAATGTAGGAAACAGTGCTGCGGGCCAATATGTTTTCCCTTTTCTTCTATTGGGGAGGTCTCAGCCTTGAGTATATCAGGCATTTATCTGGGGAGCTTGGAGATGCCACCCAAGACACTCTGATTCCTGAGTCAAAGGTGGTGGCCTGGGAGCCTGAATTTTTATGAGCTTCCAGGTGATTTCAATGCACAAAATCCATAGTTGACCCTTTGTGAATTATACCCCACCCCTGCTGTCCATGGGGCACTGGACAGCCTGTCCTTGGATCAGGATACCCACCATAGGTCTCATTGGTTTGGTGCTTGGCAGAAATAGTTGTTTCTTGACATATGATAACCCATTGTGTGTTGAAAAATGTTATGGTCAAAAATGCCTTGGATCTATCTGAACATCAGCACTTGCAACACAGGACACTGTGGAATAACAGTTATTTCTACTTGTGATCATGTGACGGACTGGGAGCTGCAACTTGCTGCCAACTGTCCAACATCCTGAGAAAGTGATATATCCCCATATAGCCCAGGAAAAGATCAAAATTGAAAATGGGAAGTACAGGTCCTAATGAATACATACAGCTTTCACACCATTGTAAAGCTGAAAAAAATCAGTCAAACCATCGTAAGTAAATTGGGGACCATCTGTACATCCTTGGCTTCTATCCTACGCTATCATAAAAAACAACCATGGGTAACCTCAGCATGTGGCGGTGACATGAGCACAGGCTTGACCTGCCAGACATTTCTGGAAAGAGCTGGAAACTTCTGCTGGAGTTCAAGTAGACAGGACTGATCAGGGTTGTCACAGAGGCTGGCTCTTTTCTTTCCTTCCTGAGAAATGGCAGCATCCTCAGGTGTTGTCTGGCAGGGAGGCTGACAGGCTCTGAAGGCAGCCCTGGAGCAGGGCTGGAGGAACAAAGAGGTGGGCACAGGGCATCTGGCAGTGTGCTCAAGGGCTGCTTTCCATTCGTATGGTTTCAGAGGGCCCACAGGTGGCAGGACCAGGAGGAGGCTGGTTGCACAAGAGAATTGCAGGGATGCTGAGCCACACAGCCGACTCAGGGATAGTGAAACCAAACACTCGGAGACTAACACAGGCAGGTTCTCCTTTGTACCCACAAGGCTTTAATTTATGGAAGATCTGAATGACAAGATGGAGAGGCCAGTGCCATTGAGAGAATTTATTACTTATATTTTCCTAGAGAAGGGCATGGCATGCCACCCAAGGCCACCCGTGAAAGTAGCAGATTTGGTCAGGAGGCAGAAGCAAAGTCAGGGGACTTTCTTGGGAAAAGGCAAAGCAAAGCAAACAGCTTGGGGTTAGTTTCCTTGAATAATTCTCAAAGGCTGGGAGCTATAGGTCTGGTCTCTAGTTGTTTGGTACCTGACCCAAGGATGACCTAGACCAGAGGAAATTTTGGCTTTCTGTGAGAGAGTCAGATAAAGGGGGAAATTGGGGGTGGAGACTTGGATATTGGTTGGTTTGCATATGAAAGATGTATTCCCAGCTAAGCCTTTTGGTTTATCCAGGGATTGGCTGGTGTCCAGCCAGGAAGATTGTTAAAATGTTAAACATCATAGGATACAGCAAAAAAAAAAAAAAAAGTAAACATAATTAATGCAGACAATCACTACTAGTAGAAATAGCTTTAAATAGCAACTGTGAATAAGATTGCTAACTTAATTGGGAGAGGTCAGAGCACCAATCAGTATCTTATTGGGCATGGCTGTAACTTCACTCCTAATAGGTATAGTTAAAGAAGAATAGATTAAATATCTTATTTTATTAATGATTATTTTGACAGATAAAAGCAGGTTGCTAGAGACAGAAAGGAAATGGGAAGTAATGAGATGAAATGTATCAGTCCGGACAATACATGTGGATGTGAAATTCTCTTTTAGAAGAATCTAACAGAAAAATACACATAATATTCAAGTGGATGCTGTCAATCAGAGAATATCAAAATACAATGAATGACTCAGGAAGATTACAAGCAAAGAAAGCAAAGATATTGCAGAAGAACAAAGTCGTGCAACATGGGCTGGGGTTGTAGCTCAGTGGGAGAGCTCTTGCCTAGCATAGGTGAAGCATTGAGTTCAATCTTCAGCACCACATTAAAAAATCCATAAAACATAAAGTTTAAATTAAAAAAAAGATGTGCACACACATAAGACACATACACAGAGCAGAGAATTGAAAGAGACTCGAGCATTACATGAGGCCAAGAGGGTCATTTGATTTTAAGCAGGGCACAATCCACTGCTTTGATAAAGTAATAACATGCCATCAAACATGTCATCTAAAAACAATTATCAGCTTCAGGTCTTAGAATTTTAGAAAATGAACAAGTAAATATTATTTACTGATTTATTAATCATATTAAATTATAACTTACATAATGCAGAAGTAGAAAAGTTGAATATAATATATAAATTTTAATAAAAGAATGTGTATAATAGAACATATTTTATATGTGTTTTAAAAATATTTCTTCACTGCATATAAAAGGGATAAATTGAAATAAGCTTGCATGTTTGCTGACTCTAGTAACCCACTGTTAAGATTGCATGACAGGAAGGGAGAATATCCTTACCTCCTTAGCTATGCACCCCACCCTTTGCTATGGTACCCCACCATCACTGTCAACTACTTGATCTGAAGCAGAACCTAAGCTGTCAGCCTCTTCTGATCATTGGTGACAGCGAGCAGCAGCCATGCAGAGCTTATCAGGAGCATGTGGCCAGCCCTGACTTGAGCTATCGTCTGCCCCATTATCCTCTTTAGAATCTAAATGAGATCCCAGGCTAATAGAAGGAGCCAGGCTTCATGGATTTCTCTATGTGATTAAAGTATTAGTATCACGACACCCCTTAGTTCAGATACGGAACATTGGATTGTGTCTCTTGATTATCAGGTACTCGCCAGAGATAATTGGTTCACTAGCCAGAGCAGTTCTTGCCTGGGCATTGATGGATGAGCTGGACACCTGAGATGAACCAAACCAGCCTCTTCAAACTAGCATGTCTTCATCTGTTTTCTGTTGCAATAACAAAATAGTAGAGGCTGGATAATGTATAAAGGAAATTTAGTTCACAGTTTTAGAGGATGGAAATCCAAGATGAGGCAGTCCCATGGGCAAAAATTTGGACTCTGAGAGACTCCCCTGGGCTGGGTCACAACATGAAGAGAAGCATAAAGAAAAACCACCAAGGGCAAAAGACAGCAGCCACAGGAAGTGACCTGACTTTACCATCGGCTCTCAGGAGAACTAACTCAGTCTGCAAGACCAGCATATTCCCTTCCAAGAGCAACGCCCCCATGACTTGACTACCTTCCACTAGACCCCACCTCTTAAAGGAACCACAGCCTTAATACTGTCACACTGGGGACCAACCTCTTGCACAGGACTTTCTGGGGAAAACACTCAAACTACATCCAAACCATAGCATGGCAGTTGTCCAGACACCAGAATTCCTCTAGGTGGCAGGCAAGGTTCTGACTTTAATTAGACATCTTGATTTCACAAACAAGATGAAAAAAAAATGTGTCTTAGAATTGAGGGGAAATGCTGACAAATCACTTTCTTAAAGTTCTTCTGGATGAAGCAGTTCTTTTACTCCATTTTCCTTTTGCTCGCCTTTTGACACTCAGAACAAAATCTCAGAACAGCTGTTTTGAAACACAGCATGTGGCTTTGTTTTTGTCGCTGTCTGGATAGTCTCTTCTTTTCCAACCAGTTCAATTTATATTTAGCATCTTTGGCTTAAACAAGCTCCAAAAATGAAAGCCCCTTTATAGAAAGAGCCCATGAATCAACAGAGAGCTCTTAAATTAGAGTTGATATCCAGGGCTAAGGCAAAAGGCTTTAGAGATGTACCTGACACTGTCTCTAAATAAACTCTGTCTCTAAATAAAATATAAAAGGGGCTGAGGATGTTGCTCAGTGGTTAAGCACTCCTGGGTTCAATCCCTAGCACCTGCCCCCCGCCAAAAAAAGCAGTGCTTTTTTCAGTCCCCATTTATTACCTCCCTTTGGAAAAAATTGGTTTCTCAGGAACCATTTAAATAAACATGAGTATGTTCCTCTTTATTGTTTTGCACTCTGCTCACTTCAAAAAAATGAGTTGAAGCTTACAAAATACAGATGATTAAAATACAGATTCCTCTCCTCAAGGAGTTATCCCACTCCTCCAAAGGATTTAAAATCCACATACTACAGTGACATGGCCACATCAATGCTCATAGCAGCTCAATTCACAATAGCTAAGCTATGGAACCAGTACGTCTGCCCTTCCACAGATGAATAGATAGAGAAAATGTGGTATATATACACAATGTAATGTATTAGTCATAAAGAATGACTTTATGGCATTTGCCTGTGAATGAATGGATCTGGAGACTATCATGCTAAGTGGCTTATTTCAAGCCGGTCCCAAAAAACAAAATTCAAATGTCTTCTCTGATATGTGGATGCTAACCCACAGTGGGATGGGGGAGTGGGATAGAAGTTCATTGGATTACACAAAGGGAGAAAGGAGCGGGGATAGGAATAGGAAAGACAGTAGAATAAGTCTGACATAACCTTCCTATGCACATATATGAATACAGCACAGTGAATCTCACCATCGTGCACATCCACAAGACTTGGGTCCTGATTTGAATAAGATATGTTTCATGTTTGTATAATTATATAAAAATGGACTCTATTGCCATATATAACTAAAAAGAACCGATAAAATAAATAAATAGAAAAATACAGATCAATAAAAACAAAGATCATGAATTTCTATCTGCACATTCAAAAATGCTGTGTGAATCTCGGCTCTGTGGTCCTTTCATGGTCTTGAGCCCCTGCCATCAAATTTTCTTGTAAGACAAAAGTCAGAGATTAAAGAGCAGCTGGGGAGTAGCTCAGTGGTAGAACACTTGGCCAGCAAGGCCCTGGGTTTGATCCCCAGCACTGTAAAGAGAGAGGGTGGGGAGAGGAAGGAAGGAAGAGAGAAAAGCAAGGAGAGGAGAGGGTTGAGAAATCAAGAGCAAAGGGAAAAGAAGTAAGCATCTCCAGAGGCAGAGGTAGAAAGGTCTCTCCAATAAGCATCTGAGGTCCAGGAATGGCGTGCTGCCAGGGCTACAGCAATAAAAGAACCTGCACATTGTTATTGTCTCTGTCAGGAGGCCCTGGGAAAAGGAACATCCCCACTCTGTGCAGAATAATTTATTTCCTATATTTCCTGGAGTGATAGTGTGGAAAGGATTCATAGAGAGAATGAAGGCAAAAGTGTCCCCACCAACTCTTGCCACCTGCTGCCCAGACACTTGAAGACAGACTGAAGAGGGCGTTTCATTCCTCCTGAACTGAGGAAAAGCAGGACATCCAGGCCAAGCTTTGGGTGGTATCCCCCGAGGGGCTCCCTCTGGGAGATGAGCTACAAGGATACTCTGGAGAAAGGGCAGCATAGAGGGGCCAAGGTGAGGCCTTCCATCTGTGGCCACAAGGATGGAAGCACTCACTGGAGGCCAGTTGTGCTGGGCCAGGACAGTGTTGGGCTGTGGGACAGATTTCTGCAGGTCCCACCTTCCGTATGCAGGAACTGAGGCACAGCATGGGCAAGGAGTTCACCCACAGCCACACAGGGTCTGTCTTGCTCTAAAGCGCGATTTGGGGAACTTCTAAGAAGGGATGCACAGAACATGGGCAATGGGAGGGGTCAGGCATCAGAGGCCCTGGCAGGTACAGGGTCAGGGTCAGGCTAGGGCCCAGGTATGGAGAGGGGTCTCTGAAGTGTTCTCTGCCTTCCCCTTCTCCTGCAGAAGGTGGGCTGTGATGGGGTGATCGGCTCCAGCAAACAAGAGGACAAGTGTGGCGTGTGTGGAGGTGACAACACTCACTGCAAAGTGGTCAAGGGTACTTTTACTCGCTCACCCAAAAAGCAAGGTGAGTGAGCTCCACCCTCCGCCTCGGGGCTGATTGTCTATAGCACCTCTGAGTACCTGTGGGGCTCTGTCACCTTGGGGCCCTATCTGACATTACCCCAGGGCTAGATTCCCACCTGAGTTTTCTGTAGGGGAGGCAGGCTGGGAGGGTATTTGGGATTTGAAGATCAGCAGAAAGTCTGAGGCCCTGGTCTCTGGCCTGGACCAGACCCAGTAGTTTTCCAGTTGGCCCCTCTCTGGGTGGGGGCCCAAGCCCAGGAAATACAGAGCCACCGGAGAGTGCATGATGGAGCTGCCTTCAAGGGTGATGCCCCTTCCTTTCTCATGTGGTGTCGTCTTCCCACGCCCACAGGTTACATCAAGATGTTTGAGATCCCTCCTGGGGCCAGGCACCTACTCATCCAAGAGGCAGATGGCGCTGAGCACCATCTGGGTGAGTCTCAGAGCTCGGGCGACTTGGCTTTTCTGGAATGGGTAGTTGCCATGGCTGAGACACCTGGCTTCTGTGAGGCGGGCAACCCTGGCTGACAGAAGTGACCGCAGCCCCAATCCACCAGTCCGTGGTGCAGCCCACCTGGCAGCCTTTCCTGGGCTCCTTTCCCTGTGGAGAGGCCAGAGTTTGGGACCAGAGGGCTTCCCCTGGCAGCAACTGTGGAGGGACATGTATCCAAGACACCAGAGGACACCAAAGTCAGCTATAAGTGGGATCATGCAGTGCATTTACATCCATTCGATTCATTTTATTTTGTTACTGGGAGTTGAGGCCTTGCACATGTTAACCGTACCTGTATCACTGAGCTACATCTTTAGGCCTTTACTTTTAAATTTAAGAGTTTTTAACCTAAAAATAGGGATTTCTAGCATATCTTGAAAATTTGGATGATCTTCCAACCCTGGGTCTCTTCCCTCAGGGCAGCCCCAGCCTGTAAGATGGGGCTCTCCCATCATCTCCCAAGATGCCCAGGACCCTCTGAGGGGTTCACCCATCTATACCCATCACCTCCCCAGGAAGTGTCCTGGCCCTACCTCCCGGGGTATCATGGGACCAAAGGCAGCAGGGTTTCCGGGACCACTGAGGGGCCCTGGACAAGTCCTTCCTCCAGTCTGGGTCCCACCTTCATCCCTGTCCCCTGGAGGCGTCCWCACTGCCACAGTCAGGCACCCCACTGATGCATGACAAACCTGACACTCTCTCTTAACACTCATTTTTCTTTCTTATTTATCCTAAGAGGAAACTTTAAGTCACTATCCTAAATGCAAAACCAGCACAGCTTGCCTTAAAAAGACGGTAAACATTAAGGTCAATTCCTAAACAAAAGACACTTTTGTCTCAACACTGTTGCTTACTGGTCTCTGAGGCTGAGACCTACCATCTCTTTGAAAAGGGGAGCAGATGATAGAAGATAAAGACCCACCCGCCCCACATTGAGGCTTTCTTAGCAATGTGGACAGAATTAAAGGGGACTTGTATAGGAAGTTTTTTTCTCACTGGTACCCTGTCTGAAGTCACCCCAAAACCCCTCAGCACCCTCCCCAATGGCTACCTTTTACACTGAAGGAAGTGTGAGGCTTTCTTACCAGCCAAGTTTATCCTAGAGTGTCTATGGATGGCCCGTGGTCTGAGTGGCCCATCCCAGTTGGACCAGGCCTCTTGGGGAATGCTGGGAGCTGGTGAGACCTTGATAGGACCTCAATTAACTGATGGTGGGGGGAATGCTGCTTTTCCAGCTAGACATATGCTCACTGTCATGGCAGGAAGCCAACCACAGCTTCCATCCATACCTATATCCTCATGTTCAGCAGATGCCCACAACCGGTAGAGAGATCTCTCTGCCAGCCTGCCTTTGAGGCCTCTGTGTTAGTCAGTCTCATATCACTATAACAAAATACCTGAGGCAACTAACTTATAAAGATAAAAGGTTTATTTAGCTATAGGTTTGGGAGGTTCAAAGGCATGGCACATGCATTGATTCTGTTCTAGTGAGTGGTAGATAGCAGCATATCATAGTGGGAGTACATGTAGGAGCAAAAAACATCTTGAATTGGAGCAGAGCGGGTGGGGCAGCCAGAATCCCATAATGCCTTTCAAAGGCATGTCCCAATGATCTGAGGACCTTTCATAGCCCCCATCTCCCAATAATGCCATGTTAGGGACCAAGCCTGGGAGACATTCAACATCCAAACTCTAGCAGCCTGTTAGTGCTATGGAGTGCTCTGATAGGTGGCAGGAGGTGACTTTGACAGCTGCAGAACCCCTTCCAATGGGAACCCATGAGCCTTTCATGGGGGAAGATCCAGAAAGGGTGCTGGGCTGGTCAAAAGAATCCATGTGGAGGGAAACCCATTCATCACTGTCACCCAAGGGCAGGGTATGGCTCCCAAAGCAAGTTGGGCTGTCTGTGGCCCAGAGAGATCAGGGACCCTGCTCCCCAGAACCCACCTTCCCCACAAAGCAGCATGGTGGGCCTGGGCCCCACCTGACATGACCATGGTCGGTTGGGGGGCTCCCTTTTGCCATTCTCAGCCGTCAAGAATGTGGAAACCGGCAAGTTCATCTTAAATGAAGAGAACCACCTGGACCCCAATTCCAGATCCTTCATTGCCATGGGCGTGGAGTGGGAGTACAGGGACGAGGATGACAGGGAGACGCTGCAGACCATGGGCCCCCTCCACGGGACCATCGCTGTGCTGGTGAGTTGAGGCACAACAGGGTCGCTGCCTCCTGCTGCCCAGGCAGTCTGCAGTGACCCCTAGGGGAAGGTGGTGAAGGGGCCTTGGGAGCCCCGAGCCTCCCTGCATCCTTCAGCCTGTGTGGCCCTCCAGGGCAGCTCCGTGTCTCTGAATCAGATCCAGAAATAGACATGGGGCCAAGCCTCAGGGCTCTGAACCCCAGGTCAGTGCCTTCTAAACAACTCTCCCCTGTAGGGATTTTGGTTTCTCTGGCAGAATGACATTCACAGCTATCATCCATTGTGCTCATTCATGCCCGCTGTCACATTAAAACCCTGCAACACCCTGAGAAGTGACAGTCGGAACTAGACCCAAGTCACCTTGGACTTTGTCTTCAAGCAGGACAGGATCCCAGATACCTTGGGTCCAGGACCACGGACTACTCCTAGTAATGGGGAGTCCTGAGGGGGATGGATTCTTGAATCATTTTTAGTTTTAATTCATTGCATAAGTGATACATTTTATTTTTTCAAAAAATTCAAACAGTACAGATAAACTTCCAGGGCTGTTGCTCCCACCTCCCCTAAGAAGCATGCTGGGGCTGGGTCTAATCACCCAGCCCCCAGAGCTCCACACAAGGCTATGCACCTGTGGAGCAGGTGTCACCATCGGCCAGGTGTGCTTTATTCCACTGTACCACTCTACTCACCTTGTCTGCGGCAACTTGTCACTAATTAGAAATGCCTGTGGTGACCGATCTAGGTTGCTGTATATACAGTGGGTCCTCAGTAGTCACAGTTTCTGTATTTGCAAATTCACCTGCTCATTAAAATTTACTTGAGATTCCCAAATGGACCTTCACAGAGTGGTGAAAAATTTGAGTTGCCTGCATGCTTATTCCCAGATGGGGTGAAACTACTCCATGCTGTGTTCTTGTTTTAGCTCTCAGATTGTAAATAAGTCTCTTTTCTTTTTTTGCAATCTATTATTGTCACATCTTTTGCATTTTTGTGCTTTTGGAAGGATGAGTTTGCTGTTTAAAATGGCTCTGAGCCTACTGCTGAAGTACTGTCTACTGTCTGTAAGCTCAGAAGGGTATAATGGAGAAAAGACATGTGTTAGAGGAGCTCCATCCGGGCCTCAGTTATAGTGCTCCTGGCTTTGAGGTCGATGTTAACGAATCAACAATATATATTGTTGTTTTTAACATAAACACACATAAAACAAGTTTATGTGTTGATTGGTTGATAAAAACGTTATGACCAGGGCTCACAGGATCCTAACCCTGTGCATCTAGGTGGGCTTTGACTTATGGTGGAGTCACATCCCCATAAACCCACCCTAAGTTGAAAATATCATAAGAATCCATCAGCCTAACCTATGATCTGTCCTGGCTCAGCAACACAATACACTATATGGTGTCAATTGTTCATCATGTGGCTGCAGGAGCTGTGGCTCATTCCCACCCACCATCATGAAAGAGGATGGGACCATATCCTTAGCTCCCAAAAAGATCCAAATTGAAAATTCAAAGTATGGTTTCTCCTGAATGTGTATCACTTTTGCTTCATCATCTTCAAGTTGAAAAACCATAAGTTGGGGACTGTCTATATTTCCCGCGGGGTGATGGCTCCATATTTGTGAATTCAGTGTTCACGGAGACTTGCTAGAACATAACTCCTGTGAATAACTGGAATCCACTGTACATCTGCCTCGGACTCATGTTCCTCAACTGGCTGCTGAGGAAGGGTGGACAATGGGACAGACACATTCATGGCCATTTTGGGGTGGGCACAGGTTATCCCAGAGGGAGATGCCCGGATCTCACTGACATACAAATACATGATCCATGAAGACTCACTCAACGTTGATGACAACAATGTCCTTGAAGATGACTCCGTGAGCCATGAGTGGGCCCTGAAGAAGTGGTCTCCCTGCTCCAAGCCCTGTGGCGGAGGTGAGGGATTTCTTATTAGGGCTTCTGGGATGAATGATAAGAGAGTGGCCATAAAGAGGTGAGGAATCATCCCTGGTTGGGGCTCAGCATGAGCAGAAACAGAGTCCTAAAGGGTGTTGGGCTGGGGTGGAGAGAGGCTTCTGGGTGAGGGGCTTCCTGAACCAACAGTGCCCTGCTGACTGCTGGGCCTGGGGCAGTGAGTTTGGCATGTGCTAGCTAGGAGAAGACTATTCCCAGAGTCTGGGAGGCCATGGCAGTGACCTTTGCCTATCCCAGCCTGGAAGGGGTCCTTGGGTGTCCAGGAAGGAGGTGCTTGAGGCATCAGGCCAAATTAGCCAGAAGGGCCTGGGGGTTCTGGTTCAGTGCAGAAGGGATGGGACTGGCCTGGTAAGAAGTTGACCTGTGGGTGGCCCGAATGGATCACACTGTAGCATCAATAGGGCAGGGCACAGATGAGCTGGACAGTGCAGAGACACCCCTAGGAGGTCCCTCCCTCCCTCTCTCTATTCATTCAGAAAAGCCTCTCTGATTCCCGGAGCAGGGTTAGCTGCAGAAGAGTCCTACCTGCCCCTTGATGTCAAGTAGTCCATAGTTGGGTGGGACATTGGACACACAGATGGACAAAAGCCCTGCTCTGTCCAGAGTTGAGGACTGGGTGAACTGTGAGACAGGACTGAGATGCCATGGGGTCCCACATCCAAAGGACAAGTTCGCCAAGGATCAAGGGGACCTCATCCTGAACGGATGGTGCCGCAGCCTTCGGCCATACCCCATCTCCACACCCCACCTGGATTTCACCAGCATGTCCTGCTGATTCTCCACTCTATATCTCTTGGACCCTTCTACTGTTCCTTCTTCCCAACCATCCCCTAGTCCTGGCACCATCCTTATACTGGCCCTCGAGGATCCATTTTAGGTCCCAGGTTGACCTTTTAAAGGGGTAAATCAGACCATGTTTCTTCCTGGTGTCATAACAGCAATCTCTGTTCTTGAGGATTGAATATCAAAATTCTCCTTATGGCTTCTGAGGTCATGACAGCTTGCTGACCTTTCCCTTTGGTGTCTCTCTCCTTGCTCCTTAGGCTAGCCTTGGATGTAGTACTCGTCAGTTTTCTGTTACTATATCAAAATACCTAAGATAGTCAACTTATAAAGATAAAAGGTTTGTTTTAGCTCAGTTTTGGAGATTTCAGTACATAATCACTTGGGCCTCTGGTGAGGCAGTACATTATAGCAGTAACACATGGTGGAGGACGCTGCTTAACATTTGGTGACCTGCAAGCAAAAGAGAGATAGGAAGAGACTGGATTCCCATTCTCCCTTTCAAGGGCCTGCCCCCGACCCCCCGCAACTTAACTTCCCACGACTTCCCAATAGCACTACAGGCTGGGGATCAAATCTTTAATACCTAGAACTATGGGGAACTCCCAAACCATAGCAGGTGCTTTTCCTGGACGCACAGTCCTCCCCTCCGGGCCTCTGCACAGGTTTCTCACCTTCCCCTCTGCCACCTTCCCATAAATCAGTGCTTTCCGAGTCACCGGCAGACTCCCCAGTTAGGTAGGCGGCTGGTTATGGTTGTGTTCTCTCACATACACACTGAGCACTGTTGACCTTTTAGGCTTCATTCTCCACTGTGGGGATCATCCTGTGGACTGTGAGCTGTTGAACAGCATCCCCAGCCTCTAGTCACTGATGCCAATAGCAACACTACCCCGGAGCTGGGACAACTAACATCCCAAGTATCGCCCTGGGGAAGAAGATTACTGTCTTAATTAGCTTTTTGTAACCGAACAAGAACAACTTAGAGGAGGGAAAGTTTATTGAGGCTCATAGTTTCAGAGGTCTCAGTCCATAGATGGCTGACTCCATTGCTCTGGGCCCAGGGTGAAGCAGCGCATCACAGGGAGAAGCCTCAGCAGAGGAAAGCTGCCGAGGATGTGTCCTTCCAGGGCATGCCCCCAGCGATGTCACCCACCTCCTCCAGCCACACCTCACCTGCCTAGAGTCACCACCCAGACGGTGCATTCACACAAGGATGGAATAATTAGGTTATAGTTCTCCCAATCTAGTCATTTTACCTCTGAGCATTCCTGCATTAACAGGAGCTCTTGGGGATACTTCATATCCAAAGTATAACCATCACCCCCACTGAGAACTGTTGTATGGAACTGGTGGAAAGAGTCCTGTAGACCATGTGCCCCAGTGTTGACCAAGGCCCCTACGCACATTAGGTCAAGGAAGAAGTGACTGAGTGATGGAAGAGGAAACAGCCTTCTCTCTGCCTCCGAAAGCCAGGAGGGAACTAGGGAAGAAGCAGTCAAGGGGAGAAGATGGCCTCTCTCCCTGCCCTGTCACCCTGCCTTGGCCTGGGGTGCTGAGTGGGCTCCTTCAGAGCTTCCTCCCAGCTTAGGTGCCCTGCCCTGTTATCCATATCATTTTAAGAGTAGGGAAGAGAACAGGGCTGGCACTGCTACTGGAAGCCACTCCTCCAAGCCCCCTTGGGGGGCCCTAAGGCTCCGTTGAGCCCCCTCAAGCTCTCTGTTTTCAGGGTCCCAGTTCACCAAGTATGGCTGCCGCAGGAAGCTGGACCACAAAATGGTGCACCGTGCCTTCTGCAACGCCCTGGCGAAGCCCAAAGCCATCCGCCGGACTTGCAACCCACAGGAGTGCTCCCAGCCTGTGTGAGTGCCAGGAGGAGTCCCTCAGTCCAGTGTCCCATTCAAGGGGAAGAGACCAGAGGATACAGTTGCTCCCATGGGAGGGAAGAGTGGGATCCAGACCTCTGAGCTCTACACCTGGCATCGCCCAAGGTCTCGGATGGGTTTCTCCTCACCCACCATGTCTCATGGAGCCTGAAGTGCTACAGGTTAAAAGGTGCACCCAGATCCAGATTGGCTGAACCAAAGCACTAATTTGTATCTTAAAAATGACAACCAGTGGTGGCACTCAGGTGGGGAAAGTGAGGTTTAGAGGGCCTAGGACTAGCTCCCGGTAYCAGAGCAGATGTTTCCTAAGCAGTGACTTCAATCTTCAGGCCCTGGGGTCTGGCAGGGCTGCATTTCTTTACCATTTTGCAGGACCCTGAGCAGGGAAGATGCCTGGTAAACAGAGAGGTAGGGGATGTCAGGGACAGGGTCCTGAGGGTCCACACCGCTGGGTTCATGAGGACAGCAGAAAGGGAAGTCAGAGGGCAGATCCAAGAACCTGGGAAAGGACAGAAAGCTGGCAGCTAAACTCCTCAGCTAGGTCCCTACGTGGCCACCAACCCCAGGAAGGTGTCCCTTGGGCTGGGATTATCGGATCTGTAGTTCCCTGTCTGTGCCAGCCTGTAGGTAGGGCACCTTTGTGGGAATAGGAGTTTCCACCTGAGGCGGGGAGCAGGCTGCCTTTTCTCTGTCCTCACTTCCTCCTGGGTGCTGAGGAGTGGCCCCACAGCTCAGCCAGGCTGGTTCTCCCTGGCTACAAGGGGACTGCTGACCGTATGCCGCTCTGCCCTGGCAGGTGGGTCACAGGAGAGTGGGAGCCTTGCAGTCACAGCTGTGGGCGCACGGGCATGCAGGTGCGCTCTGTGCGCTGCGTCCAGCCACTTCATGACAATACCACCCGCTCCGTGCACACCAAGCACTGCAATGACAACCGGCCAGAGAGCCGTCGGGCCTGCAGTCGTGAGCTCTGCCCTGGTCGGTGGCGGGCTGGGCCTTGGTCCCAGGTAAGAAGTCCCCCTGGCTCCACACCCTTGTCCCCAAACTGAGCTTGTTTGAACCTGAACCAGCTGGGGCATTCTGCTTTGGCACGTAGGCCTGGGCATAACTCCTGCCCTGGGCCACGTCTCATGGGTTTCAGAGAACTCGTGGGTGCCCCATGGCCAATGCCCTCCTGGTAAACACAGTGGGCTGTGTCTTTACTGCCCAGGCAGAGGCTCCTGAGTGCTGAGGGGATCTGTCCCAAGAAACTGAGGGCAGTCTGGGCTCAAAGTTATAATGGGACGCTCTGGGTTCCAGTGACCTAAGAGAGCCCTGAGGTCTCATAGTGGAGGTGCCAGCCAAGAAGGCCAGCCACGATTGTCCAAGGGGAGATCATCAAGGAAGGGTCTAGACCTGTGATGGGAAGAATAATGAGAATGGACAGAAGGGACAGAGGGACAGATCTGGAAGTAGGGGCTGAGCACCAGCCAAGGCGAGGCCAAAGTGACATGAGCACTAACAACCAGATCACAGCCTAGTGTGTCAGGGGACCCCAAGACCACCCCTAAGCTGAGAGGTCCAGTAGAAGGATTCCCAGGCCTCAGAAGTTACACACACAGTTACGGTCACCTTGAAAGGACACAGAGCAGAATCAACAAAGGGAAAGGGCACAGGAGTGAAGTCCAGAGGGAACTAGGTACCAGCTTCCAGGCATCCCCACCCAACGGAGTCCCAGGAGATGCCCTTAACTCTCCAGCAGTGATGTGTGTTACATGTGAAGGTTGCCAATCAGGGCTGCCCACCATACCTGGGTGTCCAGGTTTCTCACTAGGGGGGGTCAGCCACACGGGTATATAGTGCGTGAGTGATGGATCTCAGACCCAGAGAGAAAGCAGGCGTTCGCCCTAAATCATCCTGTTGGTATGAACTACCTGGACAAGGTACATTGTGCCTTCAGGCCTCAAGCATGCAAAAGCCCTGACATCAGAACCCGCCAGGAGCTTAGTTCCCATGAGCTGAACCAGGGCCAGTCCTAAAAAACAGGCCTGTCTTAGGAATGTGCTGGTTGAGCAATGCAGGTCTGCTCGGTCAGCCCTTTCCCACACTCATGGTGAGGACTCGAGCTGGGCTAGGCTGAGTAGGCAGGCATGCTAGGGGTTTGCACCTGGCAGTGACTGCACCACCCCAGGGTGACAAAGCAGAGGAGATGCCAAGGGCTGAAGGAGCCAGTGAGGGACTGGTGGTAGGGCCTTGTCTTCAGGGGAAATGGTTGAGGGAGGGTTCAGCCAAAACCTCCTGGGTTGAGACAGGTTTCCCAGTGGCCCCAGCCCAAAGCAGGTTCTCCTAGGCCTAGAGCCTCCACCAGCTAGAGAAGTATATTAGTCTGTTTTCCATTACTATAATGAAATACTTGAGGCTGGATACTTCATAAAGAAAAAGGGTTTATTTAGCTCATGGTTCTGGAGATTCAAGAGCCAGCATTGGCTTGGCTCTGATGAGGACCTCATCAGGCAGATGATACCATGTTGGGAACATAAGTGAGTGCTTACATGGAGATGGGAACGSCGAAGTGCTGAGCCCTGTGCTGGCCACTGCTTACTCATGTTGTAGCTCAAAATAGCTCAGAAAGACAAACACGTGCATCCTCTTTTTTATAACCCCAGGAGATAGAGCAGCCACTGCGGGTGGGACAAGGCAGCCTGAGGCTGATGTTCTGCCCCCTGCCTCAGACCCCCTCCCATGTGTCATGGGTCACATGCCTTGGGAGCATGAGCTCCTCCAGCTCCTCAGCCCCAGGGCCCAGCAAGGAAGATGAACCCTGACCAGCAACTCTCCCGTTGGCAGTGCTCAGTGACCTGTGGCAATGGCACCCAGGAGCGGCCAGTGCTCTGCCGAACTGTGGATGACAGCTTTGGTATCTGCCTGGAGGAGCGGCCTGAGACAGCAAGGATATGCAGGCTTGGCCCCTGTCCTCGTAAGTCCTCTGCCAATGCTGGCCCCCAGCATGCAGCAGCGCAGGGCGAGGGGGGTGAGGGCTTAGTCCAAGAAGATTCAGCACGTCTCTGAAACCGGATGGACTCAGCATCCGTGAACTTGAAGGAGAAGCTGAGCACTCCCCACCGGGGCTGGGACCTTCCTCGGGTAGGAAAGTGGATTCGTCTCACCATTCTCCTGGGCCAGGCCCTGAGGTGGGCAGGGAGGTGGAGCTGACTCAGCCCACCCTGCCTTCAAGACACTCTCTGTTGGTCAGGCTGTGAACCCTAGTGACTACCGCAGTAGGACTCAGGCAGCAAGGGGCCTGAGTGGGTAGTGGGTGCTCTGTGCCTGTGTGTATAGGGTGTGCCCATGAGAGCACAGGGTGCCTGCCTGCGTAGGGAGTTTCCGACACCTTGTTAGAAGAGGTAGCCCATATAAGTCRGAGCTGCCCGTTTGAGCAGGGTTGTCACATATGAGGTGCCCGTGTGGGAAGGGGTTGCCCTTTACGAAGAAGAACGAGAACAGAGTCTGCGTGTCGATGCCTGGCTTCAGTGTGTCACCTCTCTGGGTCCCAGCAATAGCTCAAGACTAGGCCCCTCTCACCGTGATTCCCTTCTGTAGAGGAGGGAATTCATCAGGCATCAGGTTCACGTGTCTGACAGCATCACCAGGATTCCTATTGCCACGGAGCTGCTCTGTCTTGGTGTTTTTCGAGCTCAGAGCTTAAATCGTGGGTGGAGAAGCCTGGGGACTGGGTAGGGTGCATGGGATGGGTAGGGTGCATGGGATGGGTAGGGTGCATGGGATGGAAGAGCAGGGGTGACAAGGCCTGCCTGGGGGGACGGTGAGAGATTGGGTACTACACAGATGATGGCAGACAGAGAGGCAGGAAGTGGGACCCATCATCTTGGGGGAGAGCCTTGCATGGGACACAGAGGAGTGGGGCCCTCCCATTGCCCGTCTCCTGGATGCCTGGGAGCTGAGCCACTTTGCTTGGGGTGGGTGGCGGGTGGGGGGCCCCATCTGGTGCCCCAGCTGCCGCAGCCCCACTCTCTCTTCCTTCCAGGGAACATCTCTGATCCCTCCAAGAAGAGCTATGTGGTTCAGTGGCTGTCCCGCCCAGACCCCGACTCACCCACCCAGAAGATCTCGTCAAGTAACCGWCCTGTTTATAACTCTGCCTCTGCCCTCCAGTGCATGCCCTGCGCCTTGTGGAGCTTGCCTTGGGCTCCCCTCCTCTCTTTCTATGGAAAGCTTCCCTGACTCTTGCTGAGTGCTCTCTGGGTTGAATCTGTTTTCTTCCGGGCYGTTGTGCTCGGCTTCTCCAGAGCTTGCACCACCTGGCTGCAAGCGAGGGCCAGCCTCGAGGAGGTRTGGCCGGGGGGCACTGGCCTCTTGTAGGGGGGCCGGGACCTGGTTGGCGATGGCTTGTAAAGGGGCAAAGATCTGTCGTGGTGCTGGAGGGGACCAGAGGCCAAAGTTCGAATGTGACCACTTCGCCATGGTGACGGCCTCATGGGGCCACATCCCTCCAGGCTGAAGCTGCAGGTCAGAAGTTCAAAGGGAAGCCCGCCCCATCCCCTTTCAAATGCCGCCCACCACAGAGGCGAGGTCAGAGGGGACTCTGGGGCATGTCTTTTTGCGTTGCCGTGCCGGGTGACCAGACCCCAAGTTTCTGGTGGTATCAGGGGCTTCCCAGCTGCCACTGCTGTTGCTGCTGCTGCTCACCTTTTGCTGAGTGTGTCCTTCTGACTCGTGAAACTATGGCCTGCTTCCATCCGGCCTTTGCATCCAACTTAACACGTCCCTTCACCCTGTCCCCTGTCCTCTCAGGGGTCCGGTCATACGGAGGAGGCAGGGAGATGTGTCCTTCAGTGAGACTTGGAGGACACACCAACACTTCCATTCTCTGTCCATTTGCTCCGATGGCCTTTTCTCATTGTGTGTATATGACCCCATCCACAGGGTTGAGAGAGTGAGAGAGAGAGAGAGAGAGATTGTGATATGGATGTGCCTCACCTATCAGTGTGAACAACTACAGAATTACCTCAATTTTTATTGGTTTTCTTTCTTTCTTTCTTTTTTTTTTTTTTGCTTAGAAAAACTATGTAGAAAATGCCTTAAAGTTGAAAGGTAACAGAATTGGCTGCTAACTCCAGCCTCAGACGGGGGACAAGGTCCACACAGGAGGCAGGCTCTGAGGGTCTAGGGGGGAACTGGTCCAATTTACCCACCTTTTACGGAGGGTTAGTTTTCCAAATCCAGACAGCCTTGCTTCGTCCGCTGAGCGATGTGCATTGAGACTCGGGCCACTCGCTCCATCCATCTCTGAGGAAAGGGGTCCTACTCTGATACCCACCTGGCCAGTCGGCGCTGACTGTTGTCATGGAGATCCCCCCAATGGGGCTCCAACAGCACGGCCTTACACACCTGGGCCCTTAGCCGTGACCAATGTAGCACTCCCACCCGAGTCCCACCAGCCCCACCCTGGTCCCCCAGCCACCTTCACCTGTTAATAATGCATCCCTGCTGGACCTTGCAGCCGAGCCTCCTCCTCTGGCACTAATTACTGTTATGTAAATAATCGGTGTGTAACTGCATACTAATCCTCACGACTGTTAACTTCCAACTTTGACGAGGCAGTGTGAGTGATCTGTGTTACTGCGGAAGGTGCAATACGGTCCTGGGCATTGTGCTCTCTGTCTATATGCACTTTGGTTTATCAGGGATATTTTATTAGCGTTTTGTATGTATTTAATGACATATTATATAGGTTCCATTGTTGTTGCTTTTTCCGTCTTTTCTTTTTAATGAGACAACGTTAGTGTGTGCCAAAGTGACTGTGAAAATGATCTTTTATTCTTACTAATGATGGAAAGACCTCTTGTTATGCATCCCACAAATAAACTCAATAAAAGTTCAGTGAAACTTGGGTGCTTGGGTTTGGCAAGCTAACGACTCTTTCTCTTCACCTTCACGCGGGCCGCTGTGGGGCATTGTCGTCCTGTAGCATTGGTATCCAGTCGCTGATGCAAATGACTTCACTGCCTCTTTCCACTGCCTAGTGTAGAGGTGCAGGGCTCCACCTCTGCTGAGACAGACACCCAGGCATTTTCTGGCTTCACTCCACCACGATTTTGAGTTTGGAATYGTTAGTGCTGAATGAGAACCTCAAGCTTCTCTGCTTGCTGTTGTTGTTGGTGTCCCAGTTAGGAAAAGGACCCCAAGTGACTTTCTCTGCTTCTCAGGATCAGAATCCATGGAGTGAGAATGCAGGGTCCAGGGGACCTGCCCGTGAGCCACCATCAGGTCACTGCCCTGGCTCCTGGCACAGTCCTTAGCCTTGAGCTACCTGTTCATGGAGGGATGGCTGCCCATYTGGCCCAGGTGGAGGACTAGGGTAGCCCCAGGAAAGTGGGTCAGGAGAGAAGAGCAGGGCAAGGCAGTGGTGGCTCTCTGGGCACCAGCCTGCTGACAGCCCCACGTGTGTGCCTATGTGTATTCCGCCCTACCATCCCAAGTCTCCCGAYACCTGCCCTCAGTGGCATCAGCGCCTGTGTGTTCACTCTTCTTGTTGACAGTGATCACGTGGTGGGTCAAGATTCAACAGAGACCCCCTGACTTGGGGGCCTGTGCTATTTTCTACAGGTGGGAATCCTCTCCTCCCTTTTCTGCACCAGAGAGGTATAAGAAAGCTCAGGAGATCATGAGAGAGAACACTCTGCATCGTGGAGATGGGCTTCAGGGCCCTCGGGACTCCATGGAGTTCACAGTACTGAGGCTGAGTTCAGCTGCCCAGATCCCTGGTCGTTAATCAAAAGTGCACCAGGGACATTTGTGCATTCCACTCAGTCAGCCTCTCCAGCGCCCGGTCGGGAGAATACCTGGGGTGCCATTTGCYGAAGGGATATCTGAGGCACATGGAGGTTGTGGCAGAGGGGAGGGTGCCACCTACTTTGGTAACTGGGTGCATGACTCTTAGCAATGCTGAAATGGGTACATGAACCCAACACTTCTTTACTGATAAAAAAAAGAAAGAAATATTCTCCTAGCATTTCCCATTTCCTGGGAAATGATTTAGATGATGCATAGACATAGCCCATGTCCCCTATGAGTGGTCCCTTCCTAATTCTACTTGCTCTTTATGACAACCACGAGGAGAGAGTCTCACTTCTTATCGGTTTCAGCATCTTCCTCACACTAGCTTACTCTCACATGCTCAGAGCTTTGCAGGGGATTAGCTCCAGAGAGACTGATGAATTCAGTTAAAATTGACTTAAAAGAAYTTACACATTTTCTTTGTGTTCATATTTAGAGTTACTTTTATTTACCACACTTGTCTTTCGTGAAGGATAATAGTATCAAGATTTCTCCTCAAATAAATCTTAGCTTTAAAAAGAGTTAAAGGAAACTACTGAGCAAATAGTAATCCAGGTGGTGTTCAGATACAGCCAAAATTGTAGGAGTGGCACACAGATGATGTAATTTGTGAAAAGCGTTTCCTCTCAATGGTTTATTATCCTTTGCTAGAAGCCAAAAGGTCAAGCTAGTGAATTGCTGTTGCAAATGGCAGAAGATCAAGTATTAAAATACCAAAATTATTATCTTGGTGGAGATCCTTTACCTGTTAACACCTCAGGACACTTCATTTAGTCCTTTGGAAGTATAATTTGTATCTCATTTATCTCARAGTGCTTTTTGGTGATGCTACTTAAGAATCCATAATCAGCTGGGCTCGGTAGCTCACGCCTGTAATCCCAGCAGCTTGGGAGGCTGAGACAGTAGGATTGCAAGTTCAAAGCCAGCCTCAGAAAAAACGAGGTGCTAAGCAACTCAGTGAGACCCTATCTCTACAAAATTACAAATTACAAAATAGGGCTGGGGATGTGGCTCAGTGGGCAAGTGTCCCTGAGTTCAATCCCCAGGACCTCCCCCGAAAAAAGCACACACATAACATGGTGTGCTTTCAGGAATGGTTAATTATCACTAATTATCCCTCAATATCCTCAGGGGATTGGTTTCAGGACCTCCATGAATCCTTCAATCCTTTATATAAAATGGCATAATATTCTCATATAACTTATACATATCCTCTACATATTTTAAATCATCTCTAGATTACCTACAATATCTAACACAATATTAATGTCATGTAAATAAATACTTGTTATACTGTATTGTTTAGGTCATAATGAAAAGGAAAAAAAAGTCCATGCATGTTCATCACATATTTTTTTCCAAATATTATTGATCCACAGATGGTTGAATCCAAGGATGCAGGACCTGCAAATGCAGAGGGTTGACTGTATTTTGAAAACCTTCTAGGCTGATACTAGCATAGCTAAGCTCCTGCTCAGTAGCTTTTCCAATTACTTGTTCATTTGTTGACTTATTTTAATTTTTAATAACTGAAAGAAATGCATCTCACTGTTCAAAGGAAATGAGACACAGAAGTCCAACAAGGAAAGCAGGTGGAAGGGARGTGTCCTGTGGAAGGGGAGCCCAGTACTCAGAACTATCTGTTTCTTCAGTGGACACATTCTGAGCATTTTTTTGTGTCAAGTCCTGGTCCAAGTATGCCCTTGATCAGGGTCAGCCAACTTTTTCTGCAAAGGGCCAGATAGTAAGTACAACACCAGAGCCTATAAGATCTCTCTCACTATTCAACTGYGCCATTGTAGCTGGAAAGCAGCTAAAGATACATGAATGGACACGGCTGTTATGTTTGTCAGCTGTCTATCACTGTGACAAAATGCCTGAGGTAAACAAGGTTTAGTGTAGCTCAGGGGTTCAGTTCACAGTCACTTGGCCCTCTTGCTTTGGGCTTGTGGTAGCACAAAACATCATGGCAGGAGTACATGAAGGACTATTCACCTCTTGGCGAATAGGAAGGAAAGAGCTAGGAAGGGCCTGGGGTCCCAGTATCCCTTCAAGTGTACACCCCCAGTGACCTCACTGCTTGTAGGCCCTGCTTCTTAAATGTTCCATCACTTCCCAATGGTGCCAGGCTGAGGACCAATCCTTTAGCACATGGGCCTTTGAGGAACATTCCAGATCCAAACCATAGCACCTGTGYTCCAATAAAACTTTATTTAAAAAAACCAGGAGGAGGCACAGATTTTGCCCATGGCAGCAATCTCTGTACCAGACCAATGTGATAGCAACTTTTCAGGGATCCCAGGCTGGTGAGGGAGACAAGTAAGGTCCTTGACACGACTCCTCCCATTATTGTTCTCTGTGTGAAGGAAAAGGCAAGGCAACAGGAGCTGAGGACCCCCTTCCAGTCCCACCAGGTCCCAGCTCCTTCCCTTGTCAAAGCTTATGGAGGGAGAAAGTTTACATTCTGATATTTTTGTTTTGTTTTGTTGGGAGGACTGTTGTTTTGGTACTGGGGATTGAACCCAGGGGTGTTTTATCATTGAGCTACACCCCCAGCCCTTTTCTATTTTTTATTTTGAGATAGGGCCTCACTAAATTGTTGAGRGCCTCACTAAATTGCTGAGGCTGGCCTTGAACTTGTGATCTTCCTGCCTCAGGCTCCCCCGTCTCCAGGACAGCCAGCTCTTTTTGAAAAATCTCCTTGTGTCCTGTTAGGGTGTAGATCTGGAATGTCTCCAAATGCTCCTGTCCCCAGCGCAGCAAGGTTCAGAGTGGAGTTTTAGGCAATGATTGGATCATGAGGGCTCTGACCGCATCAGTGGATTCATCCATTTGATCAGTGGAGTAATCCGAATTGATGGATTAATTCATTGATAGTTGAGTGGATACTRGGAGGTGAGACCTAGTTAGAGGAAGTAGGTCACTGGGAATGTGCCTTGGAAGGGTTTATCTTTTCTCTGGCCCCTTTCCCCCTCCCCCTCCTTCTTTCTCTCCCCCCCCACCCTCTCTGCTTCACAGCTGCAATGAGCTGAGCAGATTTCCTCTGTCATACCTTCTTGCCATGATGTTTCTGCCTTGAAGCCAGCCAACCATGGACTGAGCCCTCTGAAACCATGAGCCCAAATAATCTTCTCCTCCTCTGAGTTGTTATCGTCAGATATTTGGATCATAGTGATGCAAAGCTGACTAACACATTTCCCCAGGAGAGCTCTGATCAGCAGTTTTCATACCATTCAATCTCAGTGGCTGCTGAGAGGGGAAGAGGAGGAGTGTGGTCAGGAAGGAAGCAGGTGGGTCTCTATGTCCCCCTCCACTCCAACTGCAATAGGACAGTTCTGATTCTATCTCTTTCATATACTGGGAATCTGTCTGAATTTTTTGAGGAAAGCTTTCTACTGGTTTTAAAACCCTGAAAGCCATGTGCCAGGCCCTTCTACCTTGTTTCTGAATCCGTTGACTTTTCCCCCTCCATATTGTGAGCATGATTCTTGGTCTCAGCGTTAGAAAGACCTGGGCTTTTCCTGTAAGGCTGATGTGTTTTTATCTTCCGCATGTTGTGGAGCCTGCGGCCAATCAAGTTTCCTCCTTATTTGGGCCACTTAGAAGCTTGGGGCCACAGCTGGRTGGATCAGTGGTGCTGACTGCCTCCATATGCTCTTCTTGCCTGTGACCTTGCTGAGTTAGAATCCCTTAGTTCCCTGTTTTGAACTTCCTCAATTAATTCATATTTATTCATACATGCATTCTTGGATTCACTGTGCTTGGCTTTGGGGCTGGAGGGGTGTCTAAATATAGCATGGGGCTCTATCCTTTGGGGCTTTCAGGATGATGAAAAAAAATCAGGCACCTGATCTGACAAGGAAACATGAACCTCCCAACTGGGATGCAGTGCAAGGAAAGCATGGCACCATGAGACCACGGACTGGAGGATTTTACCTCCTAAGGGARGTCAGGCAGTACCTGAAGAAGATGTGTTTCAGGTGGGCCTAAAGCATGAGAAGCAGAGCTAGAGGAGGAAGGGAGACATAGTATGTGCATAGGCCCTGTGGCCAGAGGAGCACAGTGCAGAGTAGAAGTCTGAGGCCTGAATGAGGCTGGTGAGATGAGGGGAACATGTCTCTTCCTTGAAAGTAATGAGGGACAGAGAAGGGAGTCCAAGCAGGGGGAAGACATGGCCACATCTTGAGTGAGAAAACAGCATTTTTGACTGGAACGGGATAGTTAGATGCAAAGGTAGAAAGAATGGATACAGGAAGAAAGGAGGCTCTGACCTTGGTGAAGTCAAGAGGCAAGGCAGGGCATCGGGTGGAGGTAGAAGAGAGGAATGTGGACATGTTGAAGAGCGTCTAGGAGGAAACTCTGACGGACTTGGAGATGACTGAACTGGGGGAGATAAGGCAGCAGGGGACACCCAGGCATCGGGTTTATGTGCCTGGAGGACCATTCACTGAGGCAGGCAGTGCCAGTGGATGCATGAACTTGAGCTGGACATGTCAAGTCTCAGGCACCTTTGGGACCCACAGGGGATATGCAAGAGTTGGAAGCTCCAGGAGTTTGGTGTTAGCAGCTCAACAGCCTCTAAGGGGAAATTGCCGTGACCATGCAGAAGCAGGAGGTCATCAGAACCCCTGGTCCTCACTGGGAGGAGGCTCTGCTCAACTGTGACTGCAGGGAGTTTCAACAGGACAGGAGAGGCTCCAGGTGCAGACAGCATGGAATATCTATCAGGTGTTCCTTCCATTGGATGCCTGCTCTTTTTTCCTTCCATCCTTTCTTCCTGTTCCTCCTTCTCTAGGCCCTCCTCCCCCCATCTTCCTTCCTCCTTTCCATCTTTCCCTCCCTGCCTGACTTCATCCTCCTCTCTCCCTATTTTCCTTCTTTCCCTTCTCTCCCCTTCCCTTCTTCCTTCCTTGATTAAGAGAAGAGGTCAACTAGGGGGACAGAGAAGAAAGGTCTGGGTGGGAAGATCTGAAGTCACCACTAGAAAGTGGGGTGTGTTTGTGCAGGAACCACAGCAGGCAGCAGCGCTGAGCCCTGAGCTCAGTGGTCCTGGACTTACAGTGGGTCACGAGTCTTCTGTAACGTGACTTGCTCCTTTATATGGAGTGAAGTCTGTAACTTTTCTCATTTTGTGTGTGTGGTAGAATGAGGTTGGGGGGGAGGGAGGGTGAAATTTTGGGAAGAAGACAGAGTGAAGAGTGAGAAGAAAAATTATGAGGCTGAATTAACATGGCTACAGATGGGGCTGGAGGCAGGCCAGGGAGAGGACAGCCTTGCAGAAAGAGAGAGAGAGAGAGACAGCAGTGGTCTCTGAGTGCAGAGAGTCAGAGCTCTGCCTGCAGCTGGACCACGAATGGTCAGCTTCCTGGGTACAGAGGAAACAGGAGGACATGCTGGGCCTTATAAGAAGGCATCAAGTTTGTTTGGGAAATTGTTAGAAACTCAGTTGGAAGGGCCATAGGACGGACGCATCAGTGGCAGGATAAGATGCCTTTGGGTAAGTTGAGGCAGGCGAGAGTTAAAAATGCTCATATAAATTTGAGTGCTTTTTTTAAAAAAAAAAATTCTTTAGAAACATCTGGAGAGTTAGAGTCAGGATGGAACCACAGTGGAGCTTGGTGAAGCCACAGCTGAGACTCTGGGATTGGCGTATTAGGTTTCAGGAACTGGCTCTTTTAAGTTTGAATTTGATATAGTTACTACTTGCACATTATTCTAAAAATCAAACCCTGCCACAAAACTCCACCGGGGTCACCACAGGGATGTCAGATGCGAAGATCCCAACAAAGGCCAGTTCTTTAAAGTTAAGCTTGGAATCACTCCCTAAGAACCAACAGGCCCCATTTCCATCTCAAACTTTGGAGAGACACTGAAAAATCCAGATTCAGCTGGGGGCCTGCTTGAAAGAGGGGAGCATCGCTCACAGCTTGTATGACATCACGCCAGGGCAGGGTCTCCAGATGCCACCTGCTCACCCTGACCCTGAAGCCACACAGACTTTCCGCGTGAGCTCCCTCACCTCTGTGCTATCTCTGGGTTCCCTCTTCCAGCAAGCTGCACACTGTGGGGGGGAACAGAGTCCCCCTCACCTTGTCCTTTGGTTATTTGTTCCACTTTTCTCTTTCAGAGGGCCACTGCCAAGGCGACAAGTCAATGTTCTGTAGGATGGAAGTCTTGTCTCGCTATTGTTCCATCCCAGGCTACAACAAACTCTGCTGCAAGTCCTGCAACCTAAGGGACAACCTCACTGACTCGGATGCTGGGGCAGAGCCGCCGCCTGGGAAGCACAACGACATCGATGTGTTCATGCCTACCCTCCCGGGGCCCACCCTAGCCACAGAGGTGCAGCCGTCACCAGGGACCCCCTTGAGTGTTCCTCTCAATGTCTCCAGCACGAATGCCACTGAGGATCACCCAGAAACRAATGCCGTAGATATACCCTACAAAATCCACGGCCTGGATGAAGAAGTCCAGCCCCCCAACCTCATCCCTCGACGACCGATCCCATATGAAAGGACCAGGAACCAAAGAATTCAGCAGCTCATTGACGCAATACGGAAGAAAGGGACACTCGGGAAGTTCTAATAAAATGRAAAGATAGCATCAGTAGCATTTTTTTTCCTTGCTTATAGAGATATTCCATGGGACAACACATCCTGTGTTTTGGAAATAAATGAAGCCCAAACCCCTGATTCCAAAAGGTTTTGAGAAAACCAAGAAGGGGAATGATATAAAAATTACCTATATACAGGTGTGATCCTGAAGCAACGAGGTTAGCATGTGTTTTTGCCAGCCTAGGAATGACCTAAATCTTACAGTAGTGTGAGTGTGGCGTGGACAGGAAGTTAGAGATTCTCCAGCTTTCATCAGTAAGGGGAGGCCAAGAGAGGGATAATTCAAAGTCAAAAAAACTTTTCCCCAAGTCTCTGAGCAGCAGTTCACCATCAACCTTTTCTTGGTGGAGACAGGACATTTCCTATCAAACCCGAGACCAAGAGGCCCCATGGGGACTGGAGGAGAAATGGTGGTATATTTAATAACTGACCAGTTGCCCAGATGAGTACAGAAGTGGAGGTCATGAACTCAAATGCCCTCAAGGGCCAGGCAGGTGACAAGGATGAGTGTCGTGGCCAGTTGGGGACTGACTGTCACCTTGGTGCTGCCGCTGTGAAATCTGTGTCTCTTTTCCACAAGCTCTTGTCTTGCCAGATAGTGTGTTATTTCAGAAGTCTAAATTTTCGTGGAAAACCTCTCAATCTTTAAATGGTCTGGGAGTCTCTTAGGTTCTAGATGCAACAGGTTATAACACCTGTTCTCCAGTCTTGGCCTGATCCAGTTTTGATAATTAACTAAGGACTTAGGAAAAGTCATTTGATCCATTTGGTGCTCATATCTCAGTTGGCCTGTGCAGCTGTCTAGTTCTTTGTGGAAAAGTTAAGGGGAATTTGATAACTGGGAGCCATGAGACRAAGACATTGGGAAAGTCTCTCCTCTCCACTAGGCCTGGCCTTACTTCTTTCCTGCCTCTAGGGAAGGAGTCCTTGTGTTCTTCTGGCCAGCCTGGCCTCAGTCCCCAGAGCCTTCCARGGAGCCTCTGTCCCTCCCAAAGAGTATTAGAAGGTTAGGGCAGCACATGCTTTGCTGGGTCAGTCCAGTGAGTGGTCTTGGCCCTGAATCTCCCAAGAATGCTGAAATGCTACCACCAGGGTGGTAAGGCGTTGGGCTTTGAGGCGCAGGATTACTCCTGAAGACCAGCTTAGCTCTGGAGGGTGGGCTTTCCCTCATTAGCCCTGCCTCCTCCCCACCTCCATATCTTAGAAGTTCCAGAACCCAGCAGTGACCTCAGATGTGACTTCTGATAGGAGGTGTGGAGACAGGTGAGAAAAGCCTGCTTTGTCTTTTGCTCTCAAAATCTTAACTTCTGGTTTCTGGCAGAATGGTGCTTTGTGAACAAGATGCGAATGAGAGGGAAACAGGAGGAAGGGAGTTGGGGTGGGTGGGAAGAAGGTGGTTAATCCTTACCTTTGGATGCATTGATATTATATGAACATGCAGCTCTAAGGTCCCAAAATGACAAAACCTGGGGGCACACTAGCTCCTTAGTTGGGCCTAGGCTGACACATAATTGAGCTTTTTATGCCCAGGAAGTTCTAGAGGCTTTGTGTTCTCACCATCATAGATCTCAGAGAASTCTTTCTTGTTGAATTCCCGTTATATGGGTGAGAATATCGAGACTCAGGATAATTCCCTAATGGCTACTCTCCATTGGGTTTCCAGGTGCTCAAGTGTGTTTGAATCTCTCTGTGTGTGAGTATGTTTGAGTGGATGGATTGAGAAACTAAGAATGTAGAGACCAGCTAGAATGGTATCTGGGACTATGCTTAAGTTTCCACCTGGGTGGAAACCAGCTTTCCCACCTCCTGGCCCAGCCAACCTCCCCACCTCTGACGCCATTTCCCATGCAGGCCCCTACATTGTCCTGTGTCCCTGTGTTTTTCAAAGAACTCAACTAGAGAAAACCTTTTGGGATATCTCTCTTGGCCTGTGGTTGAGAACACTTTTGCCATCCTGCCTCTCCAGACATGGGGGATGGATCCCGTGGCTTGCCCTCATTTGTTGAACCCAGGGCAGCTGGTGCTATTTACGGGCTGAAGAACTGAGTGTTTCTTACATGGTTCTATACAGAATGTGGAGGAAGTTCAGGACTAATGCTAGCCAGAGAGTATTACTCAATTAATTACCCATACCTATTTTACAATTTGGGGGTCACATTTAGGTGAGCATACACATTATAGTTGTTGTGTGAAATGGGAATGCTGTATTACCAGATACTACCAAAACAGGGCTTCATAGAGGTCCCAGCTGGGACATTCCCTGGATACCTGTCCTCTGCCCAAGATGCCCTCAGGGGACTGAAGTTCAGCCAGGCCATGGTCCCACATACCATCCTCAGTGCTTTGAGTTCTCTAGAGCTAGATGGTCCTTGGAAGTCTCTGTCCAAGGAACACAATCATGCACCAGGCTCTGAGAACTTGCAAATCTCTTCTRAGCATAGGAACACTTGGACACCCAGCTTAGAAAACAGTCCTGAGCTTTCCAAACCAGCATCTGCATCTAAGAGGTTCCTAGAGCCCCAAGGAGGCAGATGGATGTCTTCTAGCTGAGGTTTCTAACACCATGGTGACACTAAGACTGCTCACACCACCCAGAAAATCTCCCAAGGTACCCAAGAGTCATTTCCCAGTCTTGGGAAGACTCATACTAAGTTTTGGGGTTCTCTCTGATTTATTCCTTTTGGGATACCCATGGAATTTCATGTATAAGCCTTTCATTTGTATTTCAATATTTTTAAAATCTGTTTTGAGTATATAAATGGTGCTCACTATAGCAATGTCTTTGTCAGATGAAGCAGTATGATTCTWTTTACTCCTGTATGACAGGTAGCCATCATATGGAACCACCAAGGTGCTGAACTCAAATCTCAAAATCTTTATCTTACTGATAACAACAATCAATGCATTTTTTTTCTGTATAGTAAAATCTGATTCCTTACTTTTATAACTTATTAAAGTTAAAATGTCTGTGTTTTTGCAAATTATGACTGTGTTTGTTTGTTACCATGACTGCATTTGTCCCCTTTCATAGCCTAAACTCAAGCAGAAGGGAAGGATAGGTTAACTTTGCAAGCCCACTTTGGGGGGAGTCCCTTCCTTGAGTGGAGCACTGAATTGTGGGGCTCAAGTCAGGAACTTCTGGAGGAAAGAGGCACCCAGAAGAATGGTTCTCTCTCCCAGGCCTCATGGAGTTGGAACTTAGCAGATCATGCCTTAGCCAAGAGCCCCCAAATGACCCTTCATTACAATTCTCTCTGATGAAAAAAATACCAGGCACTGCATAGAATATCCGAGAAGCAATGAACACTTTTGTAGTRTGACATTGAGATATACTAAAAAATTATTTGTTGCTTTCCTGGAATTCAAATTTAATTGAGAGTTCTACATTTTCATTTGTAAAATTTGATCACCCAACCTATAATCAGTATTGTGTTTTTAAAGAAAATGTCATTCTCTCTGACCTTCTTGAATATTAGCACGTATTTCGGGAAGAAAGGAGGGCAGAGATTTCTTTTAATATTACTTTTGTAATTATTCCACAGTGTTTAAAAAAATATGTAGCCAGCAGTTGTGAGGTAAAACATACTATAAATGCCCATTGTGTCAATTTTTAAATTTGTTATTCAAATACTTTGTACTTTGACAATATCTTATTGTTCTATTAATTTGAAATTAATAATTAATAACAGAAAGTTTTAAAAGTAGCTCCCACCAATTGATTGTGGATTTTACTGTTTCTTCTACTTCTGTTGCAATTTTATTGATTTTGTTTTTATAAAAACAAACTATTTTACAATCTGGGGGTCATATTTAGGTGAGCATACACATTCATAGTTGTTATTATCTTCTTGGTGACATCCTCCTTTTATCTTTATAAACCGACCAATTTCACTTCCAGAAGTCACRGTCTTGAAGCTTTTCCCTGGTGTTAGTGGAACTACATCAGCTTTCCTAAGTTAGGGGTTGCATGATATGACTCCCACTCCTTTACTTTCAAATTTTCTATGTTCTTTGTGTTCTATTTACACTTTGTAAACTATATCATTTTAATAATAATGTAGCATTTTAAATCTTTTAATTGGGCCATTTAATTCATTACTTTTTTTTTTTTGTACCAGGGATTTAACCTGGGGGTGCTTTACCACTGATCCACAATCCCAGCCCTTTTTATTTTTACTTTTGAGACAGGGTCTCACCAAATTGCTTAAGGCCTTGCTAAATTGAGGAAGMTGGKCTCAAACTTGTGTTCTTCTGCCTCAGCCTCCCAAGTTGCTGGGATTACAGGTGTGGGCCACCATGCCTGGCCTAGTTTGTTCCATTTAATGCCACTACTGTGAGTCATTCCATATTCCCGCAATCACTGTCCTCATTGTACCTTCTGTGCTATTTTTCCTGACTTCTGTGTTCTTTCTCTTCTTCCTTGCCTTCTTTTGGGTTGGGTGCTTCTTTTTCCCATTCCATTTTGAATATCTGCTAGTTCAAGGATACTTGTTGCTTTTCTCTTATTATAATGAGTGTTCAAGAAATTTCAGCATGAGCTCTTGGTTTATCAAAATCTACCATTACTCTTCAAAATCAGCCCTTTTTCAAACAATGCAAATTCTTAGAACACTACTCTCAAACTATCAATTTTCATTTTATTGTGGACTAATAAAAAGGAAAGAATAGGCAAATGAAACAAAAAAGCAAAGGCATACAATGTACATAGCCAATTTTAAAAATAGTTTTGAGGAATACTGACATACAAAAAAATTGCACATAGTTAAGTGTATAATTTTTCAAGTCTTGAAATATGTAATAAATGGTGGGAAACCATCACCACAATCAAGATAGAGAACAGCAGTACACGGTGGCACATGCCTATAGTCTCAGTGGCTCAGGAGGCTGACATAGGAGGATTGTGAGTTCAAAGCCAGCCTCAGCAACAGCAAGGCACTACGCAACTCAATGAAATCCTGTATCTAATAAAATACAAAATAGGGCTGGGGAAGTGGCTCAGTGGTTGAGTGCCCCTGAGTTCAATCCCTAGTACCTCCCCCCGCCAAAAAAAATGATAGAGAACATACTTGCCACCATTAAGATTTATAATTATTATTATCACTATACTTCATTTTCCATACTTTCATAAAAATGGAATTAAACAGTTTATCTATTCTGTAAGAATGATTATTTTTAAATTCATGCATATGATTAAGTATATTGGTAATTCATACCCTTTTATTACTGAGTGGTATTTCATTCTCTGGATATATTGCTATGTATTTATATATATATTATATATTGCAATTTGCATATTGCAACTTATTCATCAGTTGGTGGACATTTGAGTTGATTTTAGATCAAATAAAAATCAGTATAGATTCCTTGGGCAAAGACCAATGAGTGGAAAGGTAAGCTCGTGTTGTCAGTGTATGTTTAACTTTTTAAGGAACTTCCAAGTTGTTTTCCTTTGTCCTTTCATATTCCCTCCAGCAGTGTTGGGARTTCCAGTTCATCTGCATTCTCAGAAGTACATGATATGGTCAGTCTTTCATTTCAGCCATTCTGACAGATGTCTAATCATATCTCATTGGAGTTTTAATTTGCTTTCTGTTTGAAATAAGTATATTGAGCAGTTTTTCATGTTCTTATTTATCATATATATCTTCTATGGGGAAGGATCTGTCTAATCTTTGCCATTGGGTTATTTGTTTTCTCATTTMAGTTTTAAGGGCTTGTTACATATTATGAACACAATTAACCTATCATACATATATTTTGCATATATTTTCTACCACTGGTGGCTCATCTTTCCGTTCTCTTGACACTGCCTTTGTGTGTGTGTGTGTGTGTGTGTGGTGCTGGGGATCGACCCAAGGACCTTGTGCATGTAAGGCAAGCAGTCTACTAACTGAGCTATATCCCCAGCCCTTAACAGTGTCTTTTAAGAGCAAAAGTTTTTACTTTTAATAGAGTTCAGTTTATCTACTTGTTCTATTATGGATTGTGATTTTTCACATTGTATCTAAGAAATCTTTGCCTAAGCTAAGGTCATAAAATTTTTCTACTTTATTTGATGAGTTTTATATTTTTAGGTTTTCCATATGATATATTTTTCTATGATATATTTTGAGTTAACTTTTTATATGAAATGAATACAGATCCAAGTTCGTCTTTTTGCATCTGGATATATAGATGTTGAGGCACCATTTTTTGAAAAGACTCTCCACTAAGTTGCTA